ATCCCTTAAGTATATAGATGGCTTGCATGCACTGAAGAAACATGAGACTGGCAGGACAGGTTTTACTAGAACAAGGCCGTTTTTGTTTGTAATGGTAATTCTGTTCTGGGTCACCTAACTAGGAAGTTAGGAAAGGAGGATATCGTGATGCACTCAGAAGTCTTTTGAGAAGGTCAGAACAAAAATAGCTAGGATGAATAGAATCAAAAAGTAAATATTGTATCAATAATATGAATGTTAATGGTCTAGTAATGTTTGTATGTATGGCAATGTAACGCCAAAACGGTTGCACTGTGTTGTATACTTATAGTTGTAAATAATAATAATTTTTTACACACACACACACACACTGCCCCGGGGAATTTTTTGTTATCTGTGTAGTCCCCAACCAGATCGGCCCATTTCAAATTGATCTCTCTTTTTGCTGCTTCTTCCCCAGCCCTTTCGTGGCAAATTTGGCTAGTTCTATCAGTATACTGAGACTTATCCTGTTGACAGACAGGATCGTGAGCTCATTACATATTTTTCTTTTCAATTTTCTGTTGAGTTGGAAAGGGTAAAAAAGAGAATCCAATTAGATTAAGGAATTGAATTTAAAAACAACAGTGATTACATTTTTTTTTATTTACACACCAGGGAAAGCATTTTTTCTCCAAATTACATGCGAATTGAAGAAATCTTATTTTGCCTGAGGATACTGGGAAATGCTATTGAAAACCAACACACAGAGGAGTGTGCAATTGACTGCAGAGCTAGCTAATGAAAAAGCTAATGGAGCATCTTCACAGGAGTCTGGATTTGATGAGAGGGAGGGATGGAGAATGACATTTTTGGTTGCTAGTAAAGGAAAAAAAATACGATTTGTTATTTGTGGGGGGGTCAGCCAATGCAAAATGATTGGGATTACAGAAAAACGTTTGGTCTGGCTCTCTTCAAATCTGACAGTAGCACTGATAATTTTTTTTCAACAATTAAGTCAATCTGTATGCTTTAACACAACCATTGTGTTAAAAATCTGTATGCTTTAACACAACCATTGTGACCTTTAAAATCTGCAGTATTCAAAAAAAGAAAAAAAGGCATTATTTTTTAAATCCACTGATTTTGAAGGATCTATGGAGTTCACCAAAGGGAGACTAACTAATTGGTGGCTTTTTGTATTTGTTCTGTGGGGGTAACTTGCAGAATGCTGTTCTTGGATCTTGAAGGAATAGGAAGCAGAAATAAGACTTCTGGATCTTCTGGATTTTCTTTCCCAGATATTCTTTTGCATTAGTTCTCTAATGGTAGAAATTTGGCATGTTTAATTCTATGCTCCCATCCAGCTTCTGCAAAGTAGAACATCGGAGTGGAATTTCTTGAGCTTTGTGGATCCAATACATACCAGAACCTAAGCTGATGTTTTAATTGCCGGTTTAGAAAGTAGGTAGAGTTCCATTGATTGTGTTATTTGTTTACTTTATTTATATAACAACACACTCTATGAGCCAGTTTGATGCAGAGCAGTACTTCTCAACTTTGAGAACCTTAAGATATGTGGACTTCAACACTTTCAACCTGCCAAGTTTGAAAAACATTGGAATAGAGGTTAAGGAATTAGATTAAAAACTGGAAGATGGTGAGTTCTAGTTCCACATTAGGCCCAAAGCCAGTTGGGTGCCCTTGAGCCAGTCAGTCATTCTTACTCCTAGGAGGGAGGTAACAGCAAATCACAGCTGAAAAAATTTCCCAAGAAAGTTGCAAGGACTCTAATACTAATTCTACCACCTTCCCAAACTCCCCTCAGTGAACTCAGAACATTGAGTTTAATGAAAAGATACATGTCCTAACTTCAGCTCTTAGAAGGATTCCAAGTCAGCTTGTGAGGGTTTTATTTTTCCCCTACACACACATTTACTCTTGTCATTTCTGCTGCTGAAAGACTGTTAATTTATTTCATTTTATTTTGTCTGACAAAACATTTGATAAAGGAAAAGCTCTTTTGACCTTGTAACACTTTTGAATAATAACTTCTCTATATATATTATCAAGTTCCAGGGTACATGATTTCTACTTTATGGAACAGAATGAGAGCCGGGCTTCCTATTTTTACATTTCCTTCCTGTTTTTGCAAGACATTGTTGATTGGGGCTGCTTGGTGCCAACTCTATATAGTTTTTTAGAAGCAAGTCCT